CAGAAATTTATTGTCTTACAGAGGTCAGGAGTCTGAAATCAAAGTGTCACCAGGGCCATGCTCCCTCTGAAGGCATTAGGGGAGGATCCTCCCTCACTTCCCCAGCGTCAGGTGTTTCCCGGCACTCCTTGGTGTTTCTTGGCTTGTGGCTGCATCACTCCAGTATGTGTGTCCGTCTTCACGTGGCCTTCGTCCTGTGTGCCTGTCTTCACATCCTCCTCTTATAAGAACACCAGTCCTGTTGAAATAGGGCCCACTCTACTCCAGTATGACCTCATCTTAATTATAGTCACGCATCGCTTAACGACGTGGATGCCATCTGAGAAGTTTGGCATTGGGCACTTTTGACGGCGTACAAACATAGAGTGCACTTAGTAAACCTACATGGTGTCGCCTACCCCACGCCTATGCTGTGTGGTACACCCTGTTGCTCTGGTGTGAGTAACGCATTGTGCTACGACTTTGCCATGTCTACTGCATCACTAGGTGATAGGACATTTTGAGCTCCATTATAATCTTATGGGACCACCATCCTTTATGTGGTCTGTTGTTGACCGAAACTTGGGCTGTATGACCGATTACATCTGCATCAACTCTGTTTCCAAGTAAGGTCACATTCTGAGGGACTTGGGGTTAGGACATGGGAGCATCTTTTTTGGGGACACAGTGTAATTTGTTATAGTGGCTCCCTTGTTATGTCATAGTGGCCCAGCAGGTGGGACTGAGACCCGGCCTTCTGTTTTTCCTGCTGCTGACGACCTGCCAGCCAGGATGGGGTTGGCTTGTCAGGTCTGGGAGCCCCTTCCTCATATGGTGCCAGGTAGCAAAGCCATGGCCTGAGCCTCACACAGCTGGGCTCTCTTGAGCCCACTGGCTTGTCCATGCTGACTCTAGTCCTCCTCAGGCCATGCGGACCCTCAGCTGGAAGCACACCCTGGGTCTGGTGACCATGGATGTGGAGCTGGCCGACCGCACCCTGTCTGTGGCAGTGACTCCTGTGCAGGCAGTGGTCTTGCTCTACTTCCAGGACCAAGGTGAGCCCACTAGCCCCAACTGGTCTGCCCTGGCCACTACTCCCTGTCTAGCTGTGTGGTGAGGTGCTACTCCTCAGTATGGGCAGGATTGGGGGCAGCCCTGGGCCCTCTCCTCTCCCACGGGGCAAGGTGGGCTGGTCTGGGTCCCACTGACCTCTGGGAAGCCAAGCAGGGCTGACAGGAGGTAGGGAAGGTGTGGCCCCTGCGCAGTCTGGCTAGCCGGTCACTCTGCACCGTACAGCCAGCTGGACTCTGGAGGAGCTGAGCAGGGTGGTGAAGATGCCCGTGACGCTGCTGCGGCGGCGCGTGTCTGTGTGGCTGCAGCAGGGTGTGCTGCGGGAGGAGCCTCCGGGTACCTTCTCGGTCATCGAGGAGGAGCGGCCTCAGGACCGTGACAACATGGTGCTCATTGACAGTGACGATGAGAGTGACTCGGGCATGGCCTCCCAGGCCGACCAGAAGGAGGAGGAGCTGCTGGTGCGGTGGCTGCTGCCCCAGTGGGAGGAGAGCTGGGGGCAGTTGGCTGGGCTGTGGCAGTGGCCTGACTGATGGCCGGCCTGGCCGCTGTCCCCAGCTCTTCTGGACGTACATCCAGGCCATGCTGACAAACCTGGAGAGCCTCTCCCTGGAGCGCATCTACAGCATGCTGCGCATGTTCGTGATGACGGGACCCGCGCTGGCCGAGATCGACCTGCAGGAGCTCCAGGGCTACCTGCAGAAGAAGGTGCGTGACCAGCAGCTCATCTACTCGGCAGGCGTCTACCGCCTGCCCAAGAACTGTGGCTGAGGCGCAGCCACCCGGCCTGCCCGCAGGTGCTCAGTCCTCTTGTGCCATCCCTGCCTAAGTGTGTCCCCAGTATGGACTGCCCAGAGCCGCCCCTCCACTCCTCACCCCTGCCGGCCCCCTCCACCCCTTGCCCCTGCTGGCCCCCTCCACTCCTCCCCCCTGCCGGCCCCCTCCACCCCTTGCCCCTGCTGGCCCCCTCCACTCCTCCCCCCTGCCGGCCCCCTCCACCCCTTGCCCCTGCTGGCCCCCTCCACTCCTCCCCCCGGCCGGCCCCCTCCACCCCTCGCCCCTGCTGGCCCCCTCGCCCCTGCCAGCCCCCTTCACTCCCTTGCTCCTGCCCAGCCCCCAGAATGTGCAGATTAAAGCAGATCAGTTCTTTACCTTTTCCCTGTCCTGATGGCTTTGTGGGGCCCCCATTGACACATCCTGGTCCTCCTGCCCGACAGTCCTCTCCGCCTTAGCTCAGCAGGACCTGAGTCCCCAGCGACAGGCCCACCCTGGCCTGCATGTTGCATTTAGGCTCTAAACCTCCTGAAGGCATCCTGTGCTGCCCTCTGAACTGGGTGCCCAGGTGCTAGCCTCGGAAGGCCTGCATCTGGGGTCCGAGGCTCAGGCAGGAGTGTCCCAGGGGTTGGCTGCCTGGGTGTCCTGGGCTGCCCAAGCCACCTGCTGGACCTCCAGGTCCAGGCTTGCTCCTCTGACTTTTGAAAAGAGCCCTTGGGACACTGTCCTCTGCGCAGCCTGTGTCAGAGGGCCAGGGTGCTGCTGGGATATGTGTGGACTTCATCAGAATATCTGAGGCATGTAGGTGATTTCTTGACTCAAGAACTTTCCATGTCTCCAGCAGCAAGGTGCTGCTTGGAGATATGTCCTAGTGGGTACAGGGGTTGGGCATTTATCTACCTATCGCACATGAGGGTGGGGTGCCCACAGTGCTTCTGGCTCCCAAATTTGCACTCAGAAAGTATGTCCCCCAACTGTGGTCAGCAGGATGTGGCAAGGGCCAGGACAAGACAAAGGGCCTGGTGAGCCCAACACAGCAGTGCAGAGCCTGCCGTGTCCAGGGCATCAGGGTTCTGTGCAAGAGGCCAGAATGGGGGAGGATCCACATTGCCCTCACCGATGAGGTCCACACCAGCCTGAGGTGCTTTAAGGCTGAACCCAGTGAGCGCTCCGGGACCAGGCTCTGGGCTCTCAGCTGCTGAGACCTGGGCCTGCATCCAGAGGCGCTGCTTCCAGGCAGGAAGTGATCAAGCCTAATGGTGCTGTACCGATGAGGTCCACACCAGCCTGAGGTGCTTTAAGGCTGAACCCAGTGAGCGCTCCGGGACCAGGCTCTGGGCTCTCAGCTGCTGACACCTGGGCCTGCATCCAGAGGCGCTGCTTCCAGGCAGGAAGTGATCAAGCCTAATGGTGCTGTCCTCTTTGGGGACAAAGGCCCTTTGAAACCTGTCTGCGGCACATTCCCAAGCCTCGAGCCGCACCCAGCTTCAGCTACTCCTGCTGTCCCCAGACACCCTTCCTGGTCCCCACATGTCCGCTGTCCTGGGTCTGCAGAGCTGCTGCTTCCTGGTGCCCATCCCCACGTCTCCAGCTTTGGCCTGTTCTGCAGGTGAGCACTAAGTGGCAGTCCTGCTTCAAGGGTTCCCCTTGTGCTTTCTTGCTCTGGATGATTCTGCCTGCCCCAGGGTTTGAAGGAGGAAATGGCAGGTATCGTGCAGGTATTGGGCACATCACCTCAGCAATCTGAGGACTCCACAGCACAGTTTCGCTTCCCTTAACTCCAAGGCTGATTGCTGTTATTGCAAAAAGAGGGACCTCTTTCTCCTCTGAGTTCTGGGGTAGCAGGTCCCCGACTGCTCTGATACCCACCATCCCCTGTGGACGGTGGTCTTGCCTGGGTTCTGCTGTCTGTGGCTACCACCTGGCCCCAGGCTAGGTGAACATTGTCCTAGCCAGGACACAAACCTGCTGAGCTGGCCTGGCAGGGGGACCGTGCCAGCCCCTGGCCCTGAGCACATGCTTTGTTCCGTGTTCCTTTGGACTTGGTTTCTGACATGTCCTAAAGATCAGATGTACCTTGGATTACAGCATCACTCAACAAGCGCAAAGGCTGTACCAGAGAGGCTGGTGGTCCCCCAAGGGCCCCAGCAGGAGGGCACCTGTGTCAATGTCCAGGGACATCCCTGGTGGCCAGGGCCACTGGGCCAGGCGGTGCCTCCTGCCTTAGTGCCCTGTGGGCTTGAGCTGGCAGGAGGCCCGGCCTCAGTCAGCTGTGGGTGCTGCATTTCCTCCTGCAGCCTGTGGTTTGCTTGGCAGATCCTCGAAGGGGGAGGAGAGGAGGCTGCAGGGTGGGGATGGGGCAGTGCTGGGAGGGCAGGTGGCCTCCCTCTACCAGCCTGGAACAACAGGTTCACGGAGGCTGACGTTAACCCTGACCGTGCCAGCCTGCAGCCAACTTCTTTAGGCAGTGCTTGCCTGGTTTGCAAAACATACTCTTGGGGGCATTGGACTCTAACTTTAACCATACACTTAGCCAGAGCCTTGGGCAGAGCCTGCAGCCATTTCTAAGCCACCTGCTCCCAGAGGGGGATGTTCTGGGATGCTGTGGCCTGGGGTCTTGTTCAGGCAGGTGTGGCCAGTACTCCCTACCCGACCTGAGCTTTGCTGGGGAGGTGGGCTAGACCATCCCCAAAGTAGCCAGTGAGGGCAGCCAGGCACAAATCCACCTCCCTTGCCCTCCTTGGTCCCTTCCTGCCCCAGCCCTGGGAACTGGAGGCCAGATCCCACCCTGAGCCACTGCAGCCCTCATGCTGAGAGAAGGGACTGAGGCCAAGGCATCCACTGCCGGCCTCCCAGGGCTGCCAGGGGCTGGAGTAGGGCCCTGCCCCTTCACTGTGAAGTAACATGCCCCTCAGACCGGGCCAGCCCCACCAATGTCTCACATCTGGCAGGTGCTGGCCAGGGCTACCAGGCCGCTGACCACCCTACCTGCCTCATCCAGGCGCTGTCTGCCCCGGGCTCCTTGAATCTCAACACCCAAGGGTAAATGCAACTCAGGCTGGCTTCAGGAACTCTGAGGCCCTGCCCCCACCCTCCCTGCCTCACAGCTCCACTGTGAGGTCAGAGTCTTCCCACGAGTTCCGTCCAGAGGTGTGCAGTGGGGCTGGGGGCTGGATATGGCCCCCTGTCCCCAGCCTGACTCCTGCCTGGCTGGCAGCCCCCTGCGCCTGATATGTTTGTCCCTTTTGCTCGTCCCTGCTGCAGGTACCTTCTCCTGCCCCACATCCCTGCCCCCAACCAGGTCCCCTCTCTTTTCCAAGAAGGGTGGCACGCCCATGTCCTTCTTGTGGCTGCCAGCGTGGGGACGGACCTGGGGGTCCTCCACAGGCAGGTGATCAGACCCCTTGGCCATGTGGGTCCTGTCTCTGCAGCTGGAACCTACTGCGAATGCAGCCTCGGCCTCAGCCGCGAGGCCCTCATTGCCCTGCTTGTGGTGCTGGCGAGTTTCAGCGCCAGCTGCTTCTGTGCCCTTGTCATCGTGGCAATTGGCATCTTTCGAGCCAAAAAGTGCGTGAGCTCCAGGGCCCGGAGCAGTGGGAGCAAGGTCCTGCTACCTGGCCTTGGACCCTTGGTCTTGCCATGAGGGACCTCTGCCCCTGGAGTGGGATGTCACGGGGAGCTGGGAATGACATTTCCCAGGGTGTGTGCTGGGGAGAGGTGCCAGGGGCACTGCTGGGCTCCTGGAGGGAGGTCAACACTGTTCCAGGATTTATGTCTACCTTTGTCCCCCCAGAGGAACATGCCACAGACAAGTTGACAGCAGGTGAGTCCAGGGGATGCCAAGGGGAAGCTGCATCCTCTCTCTGCCCTTCATGGGAAGTGAAGTTCACAGTGGCCTTGAGAGCACTGTCCCCGAGGGCCAGCCTGCTCTGGGTGGTCACAACCTGCCAGGCCATGCTGACCTGGCTCGTGTGCAGGTTGGTGGGGCAGTTCGAAGTCCAGGAAGATCACATGGATCTGCACACGGTGCATATGGAGTCCCACCTCATGGAGCCCCACCTGGAGGTCTCCATGATGCCACCCCTTGAGGAGCACAGCCTCATGCCCATCCCCATGGAGGATGACCTGGAGGAGCTGCCCCCCGCCCCACCCCTGCCTGAGTAGGGTGGAGGGCAGCTGGAGGGAGGGGAATTAAAGGGTATTCAGTGGTTGTGCGCTGTGCTCCCTCCTGCTCTTCTGCAGTACCCTTGAGGCTGCATCAAGGGTCATCTATCCTCGATGGGGGGAGGGGTGCCCCAGCCCCACACCAGGAACTGCTGCCCATCCCAGGACAGGGAGCCACATCCCTGGTGTTTCCACTCCCCACCCCCCGCACCTTCCTGCTGCTTCATCCTGTGAAGCCGTCAGGTCCCCTGGGCCCCTGCCCACCCCATCCCAGCCTTCAGAAAACCCCAAGTCAGGACCTGCAACTGGCAACTCCCAAGGGAGCTGCGTTGAGCAGGAGGACTCGGGCTGATGGCCCACCACCACCACTCACACTGCCCCTTTGATGCTACTTGCCTCCTGCACGGCTTCCCCTGCCTCAGGGCTGCAGCCCCCTCCACCCCTAGGCCAGTGCCTTGAGCTCACTCCCCCATCATGTGCTCGTGCCCCCACCAATCGCCATGGGAATGGGACCGTCCCTGCATGGGTGGCCACTCCCTATGTGCACGCCAGGGTCACACTGCTGAGTCCCAGTGGGGCCGAGGCTGGGGTGAGGGGCAGGGCGCCCTGGGTCACATCCGTGAGTTCAGTGGATGCGGGCGGGTGTGGTCCTGGGGCGCGGGGTGGGGGTGGGGGTGAAGGTTTCGTTAGCGACGCCGCTGGCGCTGAGCCATCGGGAGGTTGGAGCTCCCGGACAGGTGGCTGGCGCTGGCTGTGTGCCCGGCCCCCGCCCCAGGCGCAGGGCCAGCCGTGG